TACACTTAATGTTACCCTGCTGGCGAGGTGAGACCACAAATCTCTAAATAAATAAATATGTATGAGTTTATAATATATATATATATATGAGTGGGACAAGGGTAACAAATAATGCCCAACAGGAAACGCGATTATGCAATCACAACCAGTAGGTCCCACTTAAGGATCATGCCCAACTGCTGCGGAGGCAAAACTGTAACAGTCATAACAGGAAGGCAGTTTCCGGTGTGTGAATTAAGTCACTAATGTGGCAACAGCTGTCAACGGCTAGAAGCAGTATCAGTCTCAGTGCTATTCCAACATGCCATAGTTACCAACCCCCTATTCATTAACATATCGATGAAATAATAATGACCATAACTAAACTTCTTGTCGGTCAAGAGCACAGACTATTACAGAATATAATAAATAAACTATTACATAACTAAACTAGATTATGTGCTCACAGATTATTACTAGTGTGCAGACCACTGCTATCTGGTACAGAACCATACCCAACCGTCGATGTTTTGAATAATTATATATCATTACTAATCTATAAGCGAGCATGACTACACGCCAGCAGAGAACACAACCTGAATAGATATTTCCGTACCTAAAACGATAAACATGCCCCTGCTTGCCTCCATGCTAGTATTATATCGCCCTACATTCATGTGCCGATCTAGTAAATGTACAGTCAGCTACCTATGCGAGTGAAACGCGTCTTGCGCAAGCTGAGAAACAGCACGCAGCTATGCTAGCATTGGGCATCCCGCTATAGGGCATCGACGACCAACGCCCAGCGTGAATGTGAATCTAAATTTTAAAATGCCCATAAACATCTAGCTCTACAACTATAGCAGTAGTCTATCAATTGATAGACTCCTGACTATAGCCATTCGCTCTGCCACACCTTGGTGTGGCAGAGCGAAGGGCTAATAAACATCATGCAATAGATACCATTATATAGCCCTTTATAGTCACAGCAACACAAGTATAACTTGAGTAATTATCTTTCTTAGATGTATCGTTTGTGAAACTCATGATGAATTAGCATTCTCATCTAAGTAACTTTAACACATTTCTGAATTGAGGTGCTAAAGAGACACAAATCCTCTTGCACCGAATGATTCGGCGAATCCAAGTTTGGCTAACGCCCCATTAGGAGCGTTCCCAACTTTGATAACATTAATGATTGATAATCCTAACCCTAACCCTAACCCTAACCTAAATGACATTAAACCACAAACTAATATATGACCATGTGTTATTATGACCATTAATAACATTAAAGTTGAGAACACTCCTAATGGAGTATCACCAAACTGACAGCAACTGTAAATCAAGTGATACTATCTGATTCTACTATGATTAGATCTGAAGATATATCAAGAGCACATAATCTCTTCCCAAACAAAGGGTTCGTGTGCTCTTGATTATAATCTATGAGGAGTGAACAAAGTTGTTGCTTTTTGTTTTTATTCACTCGGGATACTATGATATTGTGTGAAGAATGCCTTCACTAGCTAGCTCATTCAATTATAGCAGATATATATATATATATATACATTATAAGGATATATATACCCACACAGTTGCCTTACATTTAATAGCACACGAACACGCACGCGTGCAAGCACATGCGCAAAGTGCCACATACATACATGCGTGCGCTCTCTGTTCACGTGCCCTAAGCCAACAGTTATTAGGCGGAAACAAAGACCTTTATTCGGCCTTCGTTGCCCTATACTTTGGTGAGAAAACCGCAATCGTAACAAAGAACATCGACTAATAAAAAAGATACCACTGAAAGTGGAATACAATCATGAATGCACACCAGGTATTGCCTGCGGCATGATGAAGGCACGGCAGGGCGACCAATGAGCAGTCTCTACGGAAACCTGTACTGCTTCTTGCATCAGCCTCCATAACACTAACAGATGTAGTTCTTTATACAACCCCAGCATCACTCGCCCCAACTCTGATGCACAGACTTGAACTTTTAGCTGTATAGCTTATTCAGATACAAGGGTGGAACCCTCCACGTCACGCCGGAGTAGCAGGTCCCTGGAGTACAAGCTACGTCACAGTGAACTTCTGACCTCAGAACTGATAATTTCCATTTTTCTATGCTTAGAGGTAGAGCTCTGTACTAGAAAACAGCAGCCACTAGGCGCCCACTAGGACAAAGACACTCAACCTGCGCGTATGTCACTCTCACGGCTATTGTATTTCAGAAATAAATATTCTATCACCGTAAATCTAGGAGCTACAAGGTACACTCGTCATAAGGGAACACTACACAAACTAGTTGCTGCAGCCCAAGTGACTGTACTTGCCAATAAAAGTTAAAACTCTGAAATCAACATAGCTGTTACCCCGTATCAGTTAAATAAGTAACCTTGACTTGTATTTACCCCCATGAACTACATGATTCTCAGTAACAACACAAGGTAACTTATAATAATGTAGTACAGCCACCTCAAAACTCTCAGCTGCCTGACAAAACAGCCTTTCAAATTCATCATGGCCCAGTAGTCACGGCCACCCTCACAGTAGCCACTAGCCAATCATTCGTTCATTTAGAATTAGAGTTACCATCACTTACCCTAATCAGTGACATAATGAGTACGTATGTACATGTATATACGTAGTCACCCTTCCTTGCAAAAATGCAGACAAGACAATGAGACGACTGTCTAGTAATAATAATAAGAGCAACCAACACTTACCTTACATATTAAATGTTCCTGAGTGTCTGTCTTCACAGCCTTGTATAAATTGCTAGAGTCAAGTTGCTCCACCAATAAATACTGTCCAATTCTCAACACTTGACATGAGTCACTGGTGTTTGGAAACACGGGTGGACTGTTCGGTAATGGTGGTGGACTAGGAGCATTTAACTTTAAATCGGGTAATGTCGGAGTCGTGTCCAAAACGTCTTTCGGTCCATGGCTTATGTATAAACGTGGTCGTGTTCTGTATAAGCTCATGTGACCAAAAGAACGTGGCACTGGCTATCAGGGCTGCACTTGCCAGTTTTCTATCAACTGACACCACCTGAGAAAACTACAGACAATTGCTTGTAAGCAAATTCATAAAATGTGCAACATATATGAATTCTGCTCTGTAGACTATCCAGGGTGCAATTTTTTAGACTTTTAATTTGGCACTGACACTGTGGTGGCTTATTTCTTTGCTTGGCTGTCTTGGTTTCTTCACTCACACTGCAACACTGATGGTTGTTGCCATATGCAATATCTCACTCCCTGTAGCAAACAAGAAATGGACCGTTAAAATTGCACAATTTCTCCACAAAACTTACTGATATGGTATCGAGTAAACAAGTCAATAAAACACACAGCTGATTTCGTAAGCGTTTTAAAATAAGCGCAACTGCAACACATGTTGCAACAGAGAGATTAACAGTCAGTCGCACTAGTATTTCAGGTTATTACTAAACGAGTATTCCGTACCTTAAATTAATTCCACACAGTACTACTACTAGTATAGTACTACTACTAGTAGTGGCACTATTTTGTCGTGCGAGTTGAACGTATACTATTACTATTACTAGTATTAGTATTACTATTAGTATTTCTACTAGTACAGTTCCACATTAAACAAAGAACTACTACGACTACGAGTGTGTAATAACACCCTAACATATGAAATGTGAACGAGGTTGAACTCAACAATCTATTACGTTAATCCAACATCTACTGGGTACTGCCAATAATCTTTTGTGGCTGTTGCGATTTTACAGGAAACAAGACGCGGAACGCGTAGAAAGCGAACTGCGCATGACTGGGCGACGTTTTATCAATGACTTCATCATGTTCATGCGTCATCAGCTGACCTGGCTACCGCGAAAGGAACTGTAGAATACTCACCGGTAAAATCTCAACTTCAAGCGTCCTGTGCAACTCTTTAGTGGTCGTTCTTGATCTATTGATTTACGCAGACGCTTCTAGCGATGTCATACCTCAACCCAGTACTGTCAACTTGAGCCAGGATTGCCTACCACCGGGCGGAACCCCTTTCAAAGGTGGCAATCGCAAACAATCCAGCACGCCATTGCATCCAATTCTTGTGCAACGCAAAGAAAGCAGATCCGACGCGATGACGTGTTGTTGGTATCAGCTCGCGCTGAGAGCGAGACCCATCCGCGGGATGTAGATCGCCACAGCTTTCTAACGTGAAATGATAATCTCTCTCGCAGCAACATACAGTAATTAATTATGTTAGTGTGCTTTTTAATCATCAGCTACAGTGCTTACGTAGTTTTCGCAATTAGCATATGTCATAACCTAGATGATCATTATTGATTTACACGCGCAAGAGCCGAATAACTTTATTTACGTGACTGGACCCGGACCATAGCCGCGATGTCATTACCTAATACCTAATAGGGACTATAGGCGGAGTCATGTCCACTCGCCAGCTGCTGCCGACTAGATGGAATTTTTGGCTGGGCTGTTAGCTACGTGAGACATGTGTAATCTGGCAGTGACGTAACTTAACTAACGCTCTTCTAAACCGGAAACGCAAATAGCTAACAGACGTCTGGTTAGTTATGTGCTAATTCCTTGCATCAGCCCACGGTCGTGCATGTTTTCACAGGGGTGATGTCATAGGGGGGGGGGGCAGTCACACACGCACCCACTAATATTATCAGCTAGAATGACATTAAAAAAAACGTGTACATATATCTACGGAAATAATGCTGCTGCAAAATAAAGAATTTATTAAGTAAAATCGATTCAATTGTCCAAGGTTCCATAGAAAAATTTCAACAGACCACTTTTACCTGTATATAATCGGTATGTGCGTATAGTAATGATCATCATGCACACACCATTTCTAGATAATACGTAAGTAGATAATTAATTTGACGAGTTTTGCACATTCCGCATATATATGTGTATCCCCGATATAATGCGCTTACGATGATCACATATTTACGAAAATAGCAATTTCCATGATACGTAACAAGATTAGTAATTATCAACGACAATTTCAGGGACTATATAAATTATTGGCGTAAATCAGTATGGTACATTATAGCGTGACTTCTATCTCGGATCGAGCGGGTGATGACTAGTACGAAATTCCATGTGCGTACGGTCATACCTATGCAAACTGTAACTGTGACTGTGAGTGACTTGACTGTAACTATGAGTTCCACATGTGACATATCTCCGACAGCGCGATTTGCTATCAATTGCGGTTGACGCAGAGGTAATAATCATGGTTCGAGCACTTCTACTTTTATAACAAAGCAATGAGTGAAAAATTTTATGAGCGCACCTTCCGACATTACAATGTCAATGTGTGCGTGCCTGTGTATGTTTGTGCGGGCGAGCGGGTATCCGTGCGTGCGAGCGTGGGTGCGTTTGATCATGTATCTAAACGATGTGTGCCTGTATGTGCACATCTATATAAATGCGCTCGATTTTATTTCGACATACCAATATACATAATAATCCATTTAATTATGTCAGTGATGAGAATAGCTAAACGCTATTTTTGCGTTTGTCAGATGTGCCTACAAATAATCCGTGGCTAAAACTGCGTATCCGTACGTGCACATTTGAGAAACAACTGGTTGTATTCGCAGGTAAATACATTGGTGAACGCGTCTAAACACGGAGGACATGCGGTGCTTAGGCCGAATAACAGATGAAAGGATATACACGAGAGAAAACGGTCATGATAGAACATGGGTTTGCTTTCTGTGGCAAAACTGGCTGTATTTCTACCTATGAGAAAAACAGCCATATCAACGCGACAAACAGCTTGTATACTGATTCGGAACGCGTGCGTCAAGTCGCAGAAAGTTCTCCTTCACCACAAGATAAGAAGCGGTACAAGACGTTTCTTCACGTACAGTAAAAACCCGCGTATAAGAACATAGATTTTTCCAAGTTAGCCTCAACATGTTCTTATATAAATGGTGCTTACTGAAAAATTAGGCTCAAAAGGTTCTTAAATAGGTTCTTAATTGTTTCTACTTTTAATATGTACTAGCTGAAACCCGCGCTACGCGCGGGCTTAGTGACTGTGATGCATGTGTTACCAGTACAGTAGTGTTATGTGTAAGGTGTTATATGGAGAGTTTAGTTGTTGCACATGTTTTTTTTTTAATATAAGAACAATTTTTATTTTTCAGGCTGAATGTGTTCTTATGTATATGCAATTTTTTGACCGCATTTCAGCCTGAGTGTTCTTAATCGACGTGTTCTTTTATGCGGGTTTTTACTGTATATGTAAATAATGCAGTACTGTGTCTCAATAACAATGCCAGGGTGCTGGCATTGTTATTGTTGAGCATTGGCATTGGCATTGGCATTGGCATTGGCATTGGCATTGTTATTGCATCGATATTGTTGAGCTCGTCTTTTTTATTTTACCTGTGTTTCTTTTTAAGTCTTCATCTGCATGGAAAATTAAGAACCTACTTTAAAATCTTAGCCTAAAACAGGTTCTTATGTAAAGGGGTCTAAATGGGAAATTTTAGCCTAACATGTTCTTAAAATCTATGTTCTTATACGCGGGTTTTTACTGTATTCCTATATTCTTTCCGCGGTTGCCTGAGTGCGTTGTGCGCGTGCCGCCATCTGCCTGTGTGTGCGCGCGCGACAACGCGCGAATTAAACACTGAAAATTGAATAGTCGTAAAATGAGAGAACTTGTTCCCGTAAATGCCTTAATTTTTTTGGCGCCCGGCACTCAACCAACTACTGCTCGTGCCAAGCTCTGCGCGGGTAGAACTTCGATGGATTTCACCCTGTACATGAATGAGAGGACCTGATTTCATCATACCAAATTGGCAGCCCTATCTGAAGTACACTACATATATTCAACATACTGGAAAGATCAGGCGTGTAATCATGAGGGAGGTGGAGATCTGTAAACATCGATTCCTAGGGGAGGAGTCTTTGTGTCTCAGCTGAGCAATACCGAGGAGGGCGCGCAGCTAGTAATCAACGTGCATTTAGTGAGGCGGAGTAGGTCTCAGAGTTCGATAAGATCAATATATAAAGAATATATATAATATATGTTTATTAGATATAATCAGGTTGATAATGAACACTTATTTGGGGGGGATATGCTATTTACGTTTATGGAGCGTTCGTTTATAGTTTTCCCAAAAATCTAGGGGCAGCTTCCCCTTGCCCCAGAGCAGTACGTGGCGTAGCTAGGATTTTTTCAGCGGGGGGCACTGGGGGGGCCTTACATTTTCGTGGGGGGGGGCACAATATAATATATAACTTTTTTTGTATTATACTGTTCTAACGGCATTGTTTTTAATTCAATTTTTTTTTTATCAAGCATGAATTTTCAGTGGGGGGGGCACCAAGGGGGGCACAGAAAATTTGTGGGGAGGCACGTGCCCCCCAGGCCCCCCGTAGCTACGCCCCTGCCCCAGAGGCTACGGCCGGTTATGATCTTGTTACTGATGTGTATATTGCCCTCAAAGCTAAATGCAGTTGCCACATACCTGAGTACTACTCCGCTACATACTGCTCTACGTAAACTACGTAGATCTGTGCGCCAGTGTGGTGATACCATACTACGAGATTGGACGGTGCTGCTACCTGGTAGTAAATGGTCTACATGTATGTGTGATGTATAATGCCTTAGAATGTAGTTAAATACCTATTGCTTCCGTAATATATTGCTATGTAAACAGTTATTTTGAACGATATAAGAAAACTCGAAGTGCAATATTCGTTTTTACTAGTGACAGTGTCACTGAATAGGAACGAAGCATGGAACGAAGTGACTGGTACTTCATTCTATATCTGGTACTTCCGACTTTGTTTTGAATGCTCACTTGTCATGTGAATGTGTTTGGCATAGATTAGATAGGCGGCTGAGAGTCGATGCAGTTTCAGTTGTGTTCCTGCTGAATCGTGTTGTATGATATATGACGAGTAAACAACAATTTCGTATTCAAACGCTGTGATGGTTTTATCTTAAATGCTAAAATGCCAGAGTATATGAATGTGACAGACTTCCTGGCCGAGACCAGAGAAGATTACAATTCACCAACCACTGCCACTTTTGTGAACAAGATGCAACTTTGTCGTCAGACTGTGTCAAGCTTGGAAGAGGTAAGTTTATTATAGCATTGGCTAACGCTGGTCAGTGTCTGTGCCTTAGAAGTCGAGTAAGGTGATTTATGCACAGATGCAACCTTTCATAGTTACGTTACTTACAAGCATTATCGTAATACCAAATGAACTGCAGCAGTGCAGGACTAACACTACCAATTGACAGTCGGTGGTTACATGGCTCAACCACTTCACTGCTCCCAACTGATGAATTCACTGTTTAATACTGTTGTTAGCATTTAGCATATTGTTAATCAATGTTGTTCCCAGCTGGAACGAGTTGGTCATAGGTTATAGGTCTCTAGCTATGAAAATAAAGTGTTATATCCCATGAAATGCAGAATGATTAAATCAAAAGTCTTGTGCAATGTAGTGTATTATGTGTACGCATGGCTACATAAACGTGTCAAGGACACTATGTTTGATTCAATATTATAGCGAGACTACAATTTGGTCATGCGTATGTTTTAAATGCTTCAATGTAAACGAGAAATATAAATAAATTTGTAGTTTACTATGAGCCATCGTTTAATGACACATTTCATCCAATGCCTATTCTAAGATCATATGTTGTTGTCTTGTTGAGCACTGCAGATTTTTATATTGTTTGAATTGAAACTTTAACCGAAACTATATTGGAGTTGGTTACCATAGCATTGCCACCAACTTTATGTCAAAGTTTTTCAGGGAGGTAGTACAATAATGGCAAATACAAAAAAATTAGAGTAATAATTTCATTCTCTGCTAAACTAAGAAACTGTAGAGACAAATTTCACGTTCTCGCCATTGATGACCGCAGTGTACGACAAAATGATGTTTCAACTAACAGACGAGGACGGCATATATATCAAATCTGGTAAAATGTAAAGAGTAAAAATAGATAAAAATCACGTAGAATGTGATGAAAACAACTTGCGTCTGCGTTACGTGATTTCCCGTTGAACCTGTAATATAGTGTTTTTAGCATGATACGACAGCTGTCACTGTCGTTGTGTTAGTTTAGCAAGGCCATAGTTTGTCTGAATGTCGTACGTTTGAGCCTATCTGTAAAGGTTGCGACTATGTGCAGGGAAAACGATTAGGGACAAGGCTGATTGAATGTTTCGGGTTACTTCAGCGTTCATGCTGGCATGCACGCACGCACATATGCACACTCGTGTTGATGTATTCAAGCGCATGGAATCTTTTACTATAAATATTGTTACTAATACTAAATGTTCATACTGTGAAGGTGGGATAGCGGTCATTGTAACTGTCTGTATAACTATGTGTTACTGGTTATCTACGCTGGCAATAATGTTACGATATCAACATTTGACGTGAAATTCTTGATGTGATATTCACGTTCTCGCTCTCAAATTCACCTCGCTGTTTATATTTCGCTTCTCTATCATGAAAAGATGAATAGAACATGAATAGTAATTAGAACGCAACTGCAGCGTGTATATAATTATATCTGTGTTGCAAACTTTACCGTTCACCCTCAGCGTGGAGATCGAGGCTGTCAACACCCATTAGAAAACTGTGATTGATTGAAGGCAGCGTCTGCCATGTAGTATAGATTATTGATAGCTGAGCATTGAAGATGTAGCGTCGTGACAGGCATCTCGTGGCAGCCGTGTAGGTACTGCTATAGTGCTAATAATATTATAAGCTTTAGGAACAACGACATACGTAATACAGTGGTCCCCACTTTATCGGGACAGGTCAGGAACCATGAAAATGGCCCGGTTATTCGGTGGTCCCGATTAAGCGTTGAACACAGCGTGACAACGTGCGCGAAGATTGCTTTTCAACGACACGTCATTAGGCGGTGCGCTTCTTTATCCAAAGTCCGATAAAGCGTGGAGCTCTGTACTCTCACAACATCTATACAAGACTGATATAGTTATCTATAAATAGTACGTATAGATGTTTTAGGGTATAGATATGTTCATGGTACTACAGGGTAGGAAATTCACAATAGACCACTGGCCTGGCTGTGACTATAAGATTTTTTTAAACTCATTTACTTACGACCAAATAGACCGCGGTAACAGCACAAATTGTACTGTCGTTTCATATTCAACAGAACCGTAACCTAGTTGATTGGGGATGTTAGGTGTTAGAGGCTTCCCATTCGATATTTACAGTGTACACCTTATTATGTACATTATATTATAGAAAAAACGGTGAATAGAAATACCAACAGTGTTTGTACTTGCATAGCTACCGGACTTGATCACTGGCTGCCATCTGTGTATGCCATGTAAAACTATTGCAGTACAAATGCGTTGCCAGTTATCCTCTCTCTCCTCTTCCTTCGTGGTATTTATCTTTGCTTTTGCGTATATTGAATTATTACGGCCTTTTAAATGGCAAATATTACAGTGACGCATGCCGTCAGTTCCGTAACTTCGACGATTACTGCATCCGTGTGTATATATATATATATGCGACGCGTGGCTACACAGAACACACAGCCGTACTGTTAGCGACGACCAGCTGGACACAACGTATTATTTTGTTTTAGAATGCGTGGGGACTACTAAACAAACGTTAAACACGCGAACACGTTTTTTAGGCGTTGCTAATAAATGCCCCCCCCCCACTAACTGCTGGCCTATGGCTCATCTAGAAACGTAAAGATCGATGTAGGTAACAGCGGTGTAGGTTAAAATAAGTAGGTATGTGGGTGTACAGCATACAGTGTTTGCTGCAGGATGTAACTGGAACGTCACACCCGCCCACTTGCGTGCGCGATTAGATACCATATATGTACGAGAATCCATAGACTGTACTGGTTGGCATTTCCTATGACAGTATATGTGGGAAAATTAATTCGGGTCGAGTGTACGCGTAAGAAAAAACAATAAGCTGTTTTGCTACCTCTGTCTATATAATTGTTTTTAAAGAAATTTTTTTTTAAATCTGCTGGAATAGCTTAAAAAACGATGCTGGTCAATGAGTTTTTTTTATTATTTCTATTGGATAAATGTGGTTATGTATCACAAATAATTGACTACCTAAAATAACTACTAATAAATGACGTACATATATTAACAATAATGTAGCATTAATAATTACGTAAATAAACAGATGAAAAATCCTGAAATCCACCAATTCGAAAGGCAAGAACTGCACATGGTTGGTGAATGTAGGCACACATGGATGTTGATTCTGGCCAGAGTCCCTCTGCTGTACATACAAATATCCACGGTTCTTAATAATTTATATTTATGTACATGTATGTGCAACCTCCTTTGGTGGTCAAGGGTTAGAAGTTATACGAAGCATACTCACCCGGCGGGAGGCACTGTTCCCTAGTCTTGTTGGGCGTATATCAGCTGCAAGCCCAGTCACCCGATCCCCTACATCCTAATTCGCTCTGGTCTGGTCTTGGAAAATAAACGACATCTCGGGCTACCAAATATGACGTCTCAAGAAACATGTGCTCGCTGAATTCGAATGGCAAGATTTCTCGTACATTTCCAAAAAAATGTGGGAAGATGGATGTGGGGCACACGTACTCAGACAGGCCGCAGTAATATGCTGTCGGGTAGCATGATGTTCTTTTATTTCTTATTGCAATCTCACGATAAGACGTACTGTGTTAGAAACCGTACAACAAGACTTGTTCATGTAGAGAAAGACATCGGAACTTTAATTTACGTTGCTGTGAATTAGGTGCGTGTTCACAATTTTAATTCGTGAGCAATAGGTGCAAATCCTATAAGCTTCTACGCTGCGGTAGATATGAGTGTACACTGTACACACATCGAGTTCAATGCACACGGGACGAATTTCCTATTCCAAGACGAAAAGAATTGTCTTTGAATATATCATCGTGTCACTGTGTCCACTGCACACAAAAAGTTCTTTCATACGTGCACATTCTGCGTGTGTGCGTGCGTGTAGGGTGGAGATTGGGGGCTGTGTTATGATACACACAGTTAGTGTATTAAGGTCCGCTTTACGACACCGATGTATTGTAACAGTGTGTAGTCGCCGAATTTTATAATATTACTCACAGTCTGAAGCACAGCGCTTTCTGCATGTGTGTATGTTTACAGAGTGTGAATGTACGAGTTTTGTATTTGTGTGGGGTACACACACGTGATACTTGTTGAGTCAGCTTCGTGCTGCGAAGTGCTAATAGCGTTTGCTACTGTAGTGTTTCCTCTCGGTTGACAGTGATCACCATGAATGTATGTTTCCATGTTTACACTCGACTTTTGTTGGTTTATCTGCCCCCTTGGGAAGATCTGTGCAAACATCTCCACTGTGCACGTGGTCATGGTTCTCCCTTTCACGTTCTCCATGTCGCATTCCCGCTGCTTCAAGTAGTTTCGTAGTAATTTCAGCCGACCCTTACATGGTTACATGGGGTTTGAACGGTTATTTGGCATTCGTTATACATGCTTGTACAGTAGATGCCCGTAGCTGACAAATTCACGAACTTTCAAACGTTCCGGATCATGAAAGTTAGTGCTTCGTGTTAATTTTATTGAAAAAAAATTCGGGAGATAGTACTGTGAAAATGGGGAAACATATTATAATTGTGCAAAAGAATACGCAGAGTAAGTAGATTATTTTGCACGTCTACGTTATTCAGTTTAAGAACCACTTTGCTCATGCAAATCAGCAAGGTTTTCGTACAGGGTCGGGCAGGGGCGGGTAGGATTGGGGCTGGCTGGCTTTTAAAATGTTGTACTTTGTAGCAGTGTAAAATGACATATGCTAGGCATTTAAAAAAACGTCTTGCTGTCGATGAGGAATATGGTGCCACTATAGCAAGAATGTACGTGGATGGGAATATATGGTAGGGCGAGGGTGAAGGAGGAAGACACGGAGAGAAAATGAGGGCTATACGGGATGAGGAAGAGGAGGGGCTGTAAGTGTAATAGTTTCATGATAAATCAGTATTCAATTTTAAATTGTCATTCGTTATTAATTGTGATGCGACTGCTCTAGTAGAAACGCTAGCAATGAATAAGAAGCCACATGTACAGGGAGGGGTT